CACCCATCATATGAACTTTTCACCATCAAAATAGCAATAATAAGTAGATATATAATATACTATCTACAAAAAAAAACATGTTTGCATGCAAACCATAGACGAAAATCTTTTTCTGATATAAAATTCTTCCTAACATGTTCTGCTCTAAAAAGTAACACAAGTCGCACCTTGTAGTTTCCATTTTTGGTGTATTAGTTTGAAGATAATTTTTTTTCTTCTTCTTATTTTCCAAATGTCTCAACAAAATTGTGATAATGCCTAAATTGTCCAAACCACATGACATTCAAAAAAACAATATAACAGTTTTTATTAACATCTATCGTTATTTATATAAAATCAAAGATTACATAAGAAATATATAAAACTAGTATTTAGCCAGTGCCAATGCGCGAGAAAATGGATGTATATTATCAATGTTAAAATAGTTTTAAAACAAAAAAATCAAACAACCAATATTTGGGTCGGAAACTTTCTGGAGTATATATGGTTTAATTGTTGGGGCAATTACAAAAATGTCACTTTTTGTGTGCACATTTGCAAAAATGCCACTTAGAGGTGTCCATATACAAAAATGCCACTAATTATAGATTTATAAAGCCTATATCTTAAAATTCTAAACACTAAAAATTGTTTTGATACCTAAAACCTCCTAAACACTCAAAACTAAATCCTAATAGAACATAATTAACCCAAACATAAATAATATAAAGAAAAAATAATTTTGAAATAGTGTCATTTTGTAAAGATTTCAAAAGTGTGGTATTTTTGTAAAGTGACACTTGAAAAGTGGTATTTTTTGAAAATTTTCTTGATTTGTTTGACTTGGTTATATATATGAAGGTAATATCAGAAAAATGGGGATGAATTATATATCTATGTTTAATAATCAAAATGATCACATCTAGCCGGTATAAGTTTTGATTTTAAACCAACAAAAAAAATGACAGCAAAAATATTATGTTATACAAAAATTTGAGTGAAGAAGATGCGAATATCTCATCATTTTACATATCCCATCTCTATTATCAAATAAATAAATAAACTGCTATCGATATGACAATTTCAATGGGGAGCAAATGAAATTACCGTTGACTTAGTTTTGTGAAAAAAAAAATCTTTACCGAGTCGGTTGAAGTTGTTCCTGATGTAGTAGAACACACAGAAAAACAAAATCATAGTAAGAACATTTGGATTAAAAAAACAAAATTTGTAAAAAAACTTTTGGAAGAGCAATTCATCGAGAAAAAAAGGTGGTGGTTATGAGAGCACAGAAGTGGGGGTAATAGTCTCGTGGATATTGATAAAGTAATAAAGTGTAACGGTTTTGGTTTTTGAGGACAAATCGCTAATAGAAATTTAGTGAAAAAATAATTTGTAAATATTTTCAGAATTTTTCTGGTGAAGACACGTCCAAAAAGCTTAGGTGAGAGTGTTTTACGTTTACTTGTGTTTTAGAGGATAAGAGATAAGAAAAATACAACCAATTGTATAATTAAAATAAAAAAATTTTGAAAAAAACAAAAATTGAATTTTGAAAATGTTTTTTTTTTTGTTTCGAGAAGACATTTTCTAACGGAATGTAAGCTCTGTTATTTTCCTTCCTCATAATCCTCTTCGATCGGATTCGATCTTCAATTTTGGCTATCACCCATATGGTGAAACTGCATAACACCTTTCTTCTTCGTTGTATTACATTGGCCAAATCCTGAATTTGATCTATAATTGTCCTTCGATTAATTAAGAACCTGATATATTGATTCTATCGATAGAAATAAGATTTCGGATTGCCAATTTTCAACGATTATACGAATATTGTCATACAACGATGGTGGTTTTAAAACAACGTCTCCTCCATGGTGATTTTGTCCAAAGCAACACAATAAGAAGTTGTTCCACGCCACTGAATTTTATATCCAAGGAAAATAGATGACTAGAAATACTCGGAAGAAACTAGTTTTGCCGACTGGTAATCGTTGATGTATATATTGTGCTTGTTGATTTTCATAATGAAGATCCCTCTCCCATCCTATATGAAATGATGATTTTGTTGTCATTGGTCGTGGGCAATAGATCCACGCCGGAGATTGTAGTGGCGTAGTAGGGGATAACGGAGTTGACATCCACTCCGACATAAAAAATCTTCTCTATTAGGGAGAATAAAAAAATTATGCACAATAATCAATTCCAAATCGCTTCACTGGTTGTTAACAGAAACGACATCGAAGAAGTTTTGATAGTCATTTAGAACCATCTCGTCTCTCTGAATTGATTTAAGAAGAATTTTTTTTTGTAATCACCGGAGAGAGAACCGACTTTTAGTAATATCTTGATTTTCTTTCGATATCAACAATTTTTATCTCCTGC